CACAAACACACACACATACACACACACACACAAACACACACACAAACACACACACAGACACACACACAAACACACACAAACACACACAAATGCACACAAACAAACACACACACACACACACACAAACACACGCACAAACACACACANACACACACACACACACACACACACACACACACACGCACACACATACACACACACACACACACACACACACATACACACACTCACACACACACACACACATAAACACACACACACACACACAAACACACATAAACACACACACAGAAAAGCACAAACACACACACAGAAAACATACTTCTTGGTGAAGGTGAAAATAGTATAATCCCGACCTCATACATTTTCACGATAGTCCTTAACACCACGTGCTGCAGGAGATGATGACCAGTGATAACATGGTATCAATCTCCGTGGAATGTGCTTCCTCTATTTTACTACTTGTCTATACTTTACTACTATGTTACACATACAACCTAAGCAGAAGATAAAACATACAATTTTCAACTGTGAGAAGAACTATTCAAGAAATCGAATTGAAAATAGGAGGAGAAAGAAGACTACTGGAGAGGGGAAATAGCCACACACCCATATAAAGTCCATTTATACCAGTAAGGCCACACTGACTTAATTTTATGGATGACATCCACACGCGCATTGATTTTCGCCTGTTCTCTGTGCATTGGTAGCATTTTTATTTTTGGCTGGAATTGTTTTTCTATTCGCCCGCGCGCACTGGTTTGTGGGTCTTTAGAGGATGAGGAACACCGTAACTAATCACAAACAAACACCAGGATCTAAATTTCTCATGACCAATTCTAAGGCCGCATCAATTCAACTTCTTGTATCTTTCAATATTCTCATAGTGCCATTAGAGCCAACTTACAGAAGGAGCCATCTTAAGCTTCGATCCCAATTGCGCGGGTGCCCGTCGTTGATGTAGCCACGGCCGATCCCGGTCGGGCTCAGGAGTCGTGCGAGCATCGGCTGTCGTGGTCACAATTAAAAGTTTCCTTCAGTAACATTTTGTTAAAATTTTATCACCCTCTTTGGTCGGTCTCCGGCAGGCACCCGACAGGTTCTCTGACGATGTCTTGTACTGACCTATAGGTAATGCAGAATTCACGCTTTTGTTGTGATCCTTTGATCTGTGACGTCATACATTTTACCCGGGTTTACGAAGTACACACCTTTTTTTCTGTTTCTCTGGTCTGTAACGTAACAAATGTGTCCCGGTGCACAGCCGGCAACCGGAGGGGTACCTCTCGGTGTTCTCACGATGAGGTCACGACGTCTTTTTGTCAGCGGGGCCCGGGTAGAATTTAAGTCAGAATTGAATTCGGAAAGTGCCAAAAGCAACCCGGGCACTACCCGGCAGGGCCCCTTTTATCAATTGGGACCGAAGCATTTTTTTAAATCTATGTCAGCTCTCACATGTCAGCAGGACTGCCTTTGTAGACAGAACGCTGTCAAAGTTTCGCGCTGAGGAAAAATTAACTTCACGTTTGAATCTTTGTCTGTCCCTGATCTTAGCGATCTCCCTTGGAAGACTGTTCCAGAGCCTAACAGTTGTTGGTACAAAAGTTCTCATATGATTGTTGGTGTGGGAGACAGGGACCACCAGAGTGTTTTCGTGATGGGATTTTGACTGGCGTGTCACCCGCCGCACCTCTTTGTGTTTAGGAACAAGGTCGTTTAGCAGGGCTGGTGCCTCTCTGTGGTACATACGGTGGAAGAGAGTCAATGCACCAACTTTCCTGCGGTGGTCCAAAGGTTGGATGCGCGCCTTGGACAGACCAGTTGGAGAAAGTTTCATGATTTTCAGGGCTCTCCTTTGTATAGAGTCAAGCCTAGCTAGTTCGCTTTCGCATGCAGACAACCATACAGTTGGGACATACGTGATCTTACCATGCTTTTGTATATGGTTGCTCTTTGAGTAGATTTCAGGTAAGGAGACACCTTTTTGAGTAGGCCCAGTCTCTCACCCGCATCTGCAGCCATTTTCTATATTATATGGTTCCAGTTAAGGTTCTTATGTATAGTGATACCCAGTAGCTCTACCTCGTCCACCTCCGTGAGTATGGTGTCCATAAAGACCAAAGGAGGATGAGAGTCTGCAGCATTACGGAAGGAAATACTTCCTAAGCGTATAAAACATTACTTTCTAACGCGTTACACGTTATTAGAATGACATGACATATCAAACAAGATATTTAGCTACCTAATAGCCATTTCCTTATTCTAGAAAGTGGGGCAATCGCATTTTGTAGATATCTATGAATATCAGTGCCATAAGTCATCAACATTGTTACCTGTGGACAACCGTCCCGCACACATTCCTGTGGACATGTTTCTGCGCACTTGCCAGCGTTTCTTCATTAACTTCAATTTTCAGCTCAAAACAAGGCTCAGAATAACCGCTCACATGTTTAGGGTACAGTAATGACACAGATGTTTGTCAACCTTAGACTTGAGAATCTAAGATTTAAGGTTGTACCCACTTGGGAAGCATTCACAAGGAAGCTTGTCCCATTGTGATATAGTTCCAGGAAAGAAGCTTTTAGCGTGGAACCTCCTCCTGGGAGACTGAGTTTGGAAGAAAAAAAGGGACAAGAGGTCCTTGGGGCTGTTGTTTTCCGGATATTCATGCAGACACATTCCCGAGGAGAGCTCTGTTTTGAGACTGCATCCATCGTAGCTACTATCCTTGATTCGTCCTTGTATCCGTCACTGAGATATGCATCCGTAACTACACCACCGCTGTAGATTCTCTGTTGAGCTTGGGTATATTATACAGCATTCAAATGACATTCATACAACGACCCTTCAGGAGATAGCCGGATTGACTTGTTTCTATATTGCTCAGCCGATATAGATATTAGGATAAGAACCCGAAAACGTACAATAGTGCCCACCCCGGCTTGTATGTCCAACCGATGTTGTGTGCTCTTATTCTGTTAAGATTATACTATTTTGTGTTTGGTTTGCTAAATTGTGATTTTTGGGGTAAGACAGTTTCAGTTTTCTGCCCTACAAAGACCGTCACTAGCGTGGGTAGCCCCTGGCATTTCTCCACATTTCTGCTATCTGGTTCCGCTGCAGCCGACATATTACTTCGAGCACAATCAGACGCCATGCACGTTATTCCTTACACATACAATAATATCAAAGGACAGCTGTGCTGAACTAAAGGTGCCATGATTCAGCGGAGTGGAACGAATAAGATATGACACTCTGGCAATCTCTGAGGGATACGACTGGGCAATCAGAATTTTGTACGTTTTTGCGAAACGATTTTGGCCCTTTGTAAGCCCGAGCTGTTTTCTGACTGGATCGATCCTTACTGTCTATCACAATTAGTAGTTCAG